TGGATTGACCACGGTTGGTGCCCGGGATTGGTTCAGGTAACCTTCCTTCCCTATTTTTATAATGCACAATTCCTTGTACGAACATAGTTGACAAAATAATGTTGAAATTAACCTGAAGAGATAAGGCGGTTATGGCGCGTTCATTAACATTATCATTTATCTTATTTTAGTTAATTTTGTTTAGGCCAGACGCGAACGACTTAAATTCAATCTAAACTTATCCCACAATCGTTCAGTACTTAAGGAATATCGACTCAGTGAATCGAAGAATGATTAAATACCAACAGAAAACGAGGCTCCTATTCATATCCAGCGTATAAATTAGATATTCCTGTTAGTGACCTTTTAACCCCAAAATTGCGCAAGGTTCGCTTGAGCTACCTGTGATGCTTGTAAATAGAAATTCAATGTAATTTCTCGTTTTCCTGCGGTCTTTCCTCCTCTTTTAACATCTACAGCCAGTGCACCCTCGGCAATAATATACACATGAGAAGTCTGTGAAAATCGTTGACGCTCTTGGTACACTCGTACACTAATACACTCGTCACGTTTAGACAAGTACCAAGAAAATTATATAGGATAATGAATCTGCTAAATTTGATGCATGGAAAAATTTAGATGAATAGATTTCACTGTACAGGTTTTTTCAGTAGCCATTAAACCTTTCCTTGCAACCGTAGTTTAACTCGTCAACTTGGTTACAACGTGTGTAAGATGACTCACAGGTCATCAGACGGCGTTTAGAAACATACGAGACGAGACCAAAACGGAAACAATAGAGGTGCCTACATGTATAGGTAAACACGATTATGACAGCGCACGCGCAGTCTAGCGTTACCTTCGCAATGTTCTCCTGTGTATCCAGGTGGACATATACACTTATATCCCTTGTCCGTAAATCCCACCAGGCAAGTTGCGTTGTTGTAGCACTTGTTGAGGTAGCACTTATTCTGGTGGAAAAGAATGTAGCTAGAGGTTCTTAAAGCTTTCACGCTGATTATTTCAGAATATCTATAATTGCTGAGCAAATTTGAACTAACGGCGCATGATGATCAGGTGATTCATTACACGCCTGCAGTTATCGATAGCGATCTATGCCGATGAATCCTACGGGGCACCCAAAGCGATCTTTATTTTTAATTTTTTTTCGATTGCAATGCTCTCAGGCTCCAATTTGAAAAGTTTTGTTATGAATTCTCCCAATCTGGTTCGGTGAGGACTCGCAGAGGGTTTAAGAAAATCGCTTGAAGGGTAATCAAGGCTGAAGAAGAGCAAATAATTCTTACCTCCGTGCCTCTATACATTAAGCCTGCCGTCGGTTTCAGATCATTTGGATGTTGTAGTTGGTCCGAGTCACTCAGCTGGCATATCATTTCATCTTTTTCCCTTGGTACCATGTTAATCGATGTACATCTGTCTTCAATAGTACACCAATTTCTGCAGTGACTATACATATGTATTCCGACTGATAATGAAATGTTTTTAAAGACGTGGCCTATCAATGCATATCCATCTATTGGCTCCAGAAACTTGAGACGTCGACAGCCATCTGTAAGTTAGAAAGGAGTGGATCGGATCACGTACGCTCAGTGGCGAAGTAAATTACAACTGATCGATAACTTTTTAACCCATGCAGTCTATTTTCGTTTTGTTTTGTTTCGCAATTGTTTTTTTTTGTAATCAGAATGACACAGATAAAGAATCTTCAAAAACGTCCAGGGTTACCTCATGTTGCGATCTATGAAAAGCTCTAACCTTTGACAGAATTTATCAAAGTCAAAGTTTTCACGAGCGCTTCACTCTAAGGGCTCCCGCGCTATAATTTATTTTTTAACACTATTCTTTTATACTCGCGCGACTGATCGAACTGTTTGTCTCTTTAATCTAATTTTTTTCGCAATGAAATAAATTTGTTTTGACATATGGAAAAGTTGCTCCTTTGTATCTAATTGCCGTTTCTAATGAAGTTTCAACTCTAATTCTGTATACCTCTTTACAAGAGGAAAATGATGATGAAAATGCGAGTGTCATTCTCTCTTAAAGATGATGACGTTAAAATTTAAAGAGAACGTAGACGAAAAAGTAAAATATTTAGTGGTTTTGCACATTAATAAAATTCAAGTGTAGCCGTGTTTTCTTTGGACTAATCAAAACAATCCACGGGTTTTTTCTCGTGTTATAGTCTGAATTTTCTGGCAACACCTTTGAAGCATTTCTTGAGACTGGCTTTCTTCGTTTTCTAGACGATCATTTAAAAGAACAGTCTTATTTTGTAGTGCATGAAGACCGGGTTGAAGTCCAACACTTGAGAAAATGATATGCAACGATATGCAGTACTTTTCAGACTTTGAATACCAATTGCCTAAGCTAACATTATGATTCATTTTTAAGAAACCAATGGAAAATTCTTGCCGGAACAACTAAAAAACTTTCGTTTCAAATATAATTCGATTTGTTTACTTTTTTGTGTCAAGTTACTAAGGTCTGATGAGGGTCATATCTATTCTGATCAATTATTCATCAGCGTTTTTCTGTAAGCTCGATTGTATAGAGGACAAACATTTGGATTGTTGACAATAACCACGAAAAATTATTTTTTCCACTGAATTTTAGCTCTCAAGACTTTTTTATTGATAGTTTAATGGTGGAATTGATCTAAATAAATTCTTATATTTCAAAAAAACTGCGTGACCGCCTCGAATTGCCTTAGATGTTAATCAACTGTATGTGAATGTATATAGGTTCAGCAACTTTTTCAAATTGGGTTCTGGTATCTTACCATATCGCATATCATCTTTCAGGAGCAAGTGATCATTGACTTTGAAATACATTGTCCATAAGAATTAATTTGAGAGCCGATACAAGACCTTTAACATCTAGTCAGATTATCATAACAGTTGTCAGCACCTTTGTTGACGAATATATGGCGAAATACATTGTGAGGGCAAAGTATCTTTCTCAAGAACACAGTGCAAAGGTCGTGCTATTACAGGTACCCGGACATTTCGACCAGAAGTCGAACGCATGGGGCCAACGCATCTACCAGACATAGAAAAGCAGCCATGCCTTAGAGAATCTATAAAAACTCTCTTATAACCGACGCAAAAAAGAATGTTAAAGTTAACTCACCATGGTTTGCAGCTGTTAAGCTGTAAAACCAGCCTCCGAACAAAAAAAACCGATATAGGAGAGAAAACATCCGGCCGCAGCGCTTCATCTTCAGAGTTTTGTCAGAGAGGAAGTTCTCAGCCTTCTTCTGACGGTAATTCACTTTTTATAGAGACTGTCAAAAGAGTGCGGAAACTGTATCACCCATAAGATGCCTATCTCTCGCAAGGAGCAAAACAGAGAAATTTTATCTCTTATTGTGATTAATTATTAATCCTGAAGCGGATTTTTATGAAGCTCCTCCAACGTCATTTGTGCATAGAAATGATCAGTAAGGAGTCTCTTGTTTTGGCTCTTTACAGAAAACAATGGTAAAAACAAAACAAGTTCGCATGAAATCAAAGTAGTTCCACTGTTTGACAAACAGACTGAATAAAAACTCAGTAAAATCACGGACGGGTTTTAGCGTTTCCTTGTTTAATTGCATAATTGGTCCGCAGGAATAAAAACCATCATTGAAGCTTTAGTTTGTCACTATATTCAATATATACTCGTACTTCTCCTTGGTATGAAGATGATTTTCCTCAGCGCTACTGGTACAAATATGGTGCAGAAATGGCTGCCACGGTAATCACATTGCTTCTTGGTATTCTTGAGTCTGGTATTGGAACCTGGGCTGCGGTTCTGTGCTGTAATATGAATGCTTGCCAGTGCCGTGCTGTTCAAGAAGGCCAGGTACTATATATCTTCTAAGTGAATTTTGCTTTGTTTGCTCTTTTGAGTCTGTGTTAGGGCCTTTTCACACTGGTGACAAAGTTGTTTATTTAGACAAATTTTTTGTCATCGCCAACATTTTACAAGTACAGATGGTTTGTCCCGACTTGACAAATTTTGATCGAGGCAGACAGATCTTCAAATGCACTGCTGACAAAATTTGTCTCATGTGAAAAATTTGGCAAAATCGGCTAAATAAACAAAACCATGATAAAGTTCTCGATCAATTGTCGTATTAGCTACGACAAGCGTGTAATTGAACGGACATCAGTTCACTAGAAATTTGTCTAAAAATTGTCTTTTGCTGCAAAACTTGGACATTCTAAAACTTTAAAACGACTTAGGATAAATCCTGGAAAATGGAGGTGGAATCCTTTGGCAACCATGCTAGTCGGTCTTATGAACAGATCAGAGGCTGATAGAATTTGACAGCTTTGAAACTGTTAGTGCGGATGCAACAAATAAAATTTGCTCCTCACATCGGAACAATTCTAGTTTTGTCCACTAGTGTGGAAAGGCTCTTGCCTAATAGGCTATCTACTGATGCTTGCTCTAGTTTGTTCTGATCAATCATAATTATTATTGGCACTACCATAACTATTATTACCATTTTCACCATAAAATAAGTGCATTATTTATCTTCATCAACATCATAATCATCATCTTCGTCATTGTTGTTGACATGGTTGCAGTCGTGGTTATGGTCATGTCATCATCATTATCATCATTATCACGTCATCATGGTTCATTGACTGTGTAGGCACTGCCTGTTTCCTTGTTTCTGTGTTTACCTGTCTCTCTGTCTGTCTGCTGATGTCTCTCCTCACACAGTATGTCTTAACCTTTGAACAATGAGACCAAACAGCTTTTTTGGGAAGGTTCGTAATTATAATCACACAATCAGTGCTTTTCTTTCCATTTTTCATGGAAAGCCCTTGTTTCTGATAATTCTTTTCTTTGAGGAAACCGTGTAATTGTGGTTATCATGGACAATTAGTGTACTCATAAAGCCGTAAAGTTTCATTGTTCATTGTTAACGCTTTTCAGTTGTCAATGTTTTTGCATTATCAAGTGTCTACATCTGATGATATGTAAACTCACACTTGTAGGCACCCTCAATGGTTTATGTGAGCAACCAAGGCATGGTGTATGGTGCTGGGGGTGATCCCTTGGGAATTCCTATGCAAACAGCAGATGGTGTGGTTCCAGTATATTCCTCAGGGGGTGTAGGAGGCCATCCTCAAACAGTTCAAATGCCAGGAGGTGGTGTAATGCAAGTAGTCACTCAGCCACAAATGTACCAAGCTCCTTTATCTGGGGCTGTGAGCATGCAGCCTCAAATGATCCAGGTGCCAACATCTGGAGCTGGGGCTGTGAGCATGCAGCCCCAAATGGTCCAGTTACCAACATCTGGAGCTCAGGGAGGTCCAGCTCCAATGGTCCAGGTTCCGCTAACAAGAAATCCCCGAGGACCTGAGGGTCAACCACTTCCTTAACTAATTGCAGGTTCCGATAGGTGAGTCCAATTAAATCCTTTGACATAACTTATGAGCCACTCCTTGAATTGACTTTGCCGAGTTGTCTATTTTCCTTTTTTTGTTGTTGGGTGTCTGGTGTAGAATCACTCCTGTTAGTAGTTTTAATACTATTACTAATTTATTTGTCTTTCAAAGTGTGGAAAGCTATTTTTGAGAGATCTTGCTTGATAGTCTTCTGCACAAAGTATATTCATGTTCTTGTGTGCGTACAGTGCTTCGAGAGAATTAGTGAAACATCACACCAGCGCACTCTTTACAGGGCTGTGGGGTGGGAAAGTGTTTATGAAAGTTTTATAGACTTGCTCTCAAACAGGAAATTCTTTTTTCCTTATAGCTCTTTGTGGAGATCAACCGACAAGCACGGATGATGATGCTCACTGTTGCTTAAATGCACCACACGTGGCAAAAGTGACACATGTATTTTGAATGGTCATCTTTGAGTTCTTAGACGTAGAGTGAAAAGCTGGAGAGTTGATCAGATAGATTGAAAACCATATATGCGGCTGTTTCGTGAAAGGTGGTCAGGAAAAAAGCATACAAATGCACGTAACAAGCCCTAAAGGCATTGTGGGTGCTTTTCGGGCCACGGTTCTTTAATCCTTTAACTCTCAAAAGTGGTCAACATTAAACTTCTCCTTCTAATGTTTTACATTATCCAGCAAACAGATGATGAGAATATTCAAACCTATTAGATAGAAGTTGTTATCTTGATCTAACAGAAAAATTTTATTACTTAGTTACATGGAAATGTTTAACAGCTAGCGAGGAGAAATAACAATCAGATCTTGGGAGTTAAAAGGTTAAACAGGATTTCAGGGAAATCTGAGAAAACGTCATAGCAAGGACGAGGCATTACAGGTTTGATTAATTGATTTATTTATTTATCTGACTTCTAAAAATTAATATATTACCAGATACCCAGATTACTCTTCGAGAATGTCACTTCCTTTTTCTGACAAACTTTCTCAAAACAGCTGATCACTGCAGTGTTATTTATTCCCAGCTATTTGAAGGAATTTTACTAGACCGTAAAACTGGTCGTAATAAAATCTGGAATGCAAAACATTTCCATGAAATAAAGGCATCTCAGAAGCATCTTATCTATTTGCTCGTTACTTTTGGTGTAATTTTGTCAAAGAATTAATGAAATTTTTTACCGATAAAAATGAAGAATCCAGCATGGACATTGAAGCACAAAGGAGGGCTATATAATCACTTATAACGTTATCTGCACTAGTAGGACAAGACACATTGTTTAATTGTTGGTATTGGGTAAAAATTTTCAGATTTATATGGGCTCTTTCTCTACCATAGCAACTTAAAACTTAGCACGGGACCTTTCGCGCAAATCACGTAAAATTTCAGTCAACCAGGTTTTGCCTGAGCCTAAAGGAGAAAATTGTTGAAGTGCAGATGTATTTTGGGTGTATATGTTATGTCCTTAGTCATGCAAACTTTACTATGCGATAAAATCAGTTGTATTGTCCTGGAATTTTCCCATCTTATATTCCGTATCCCTATGCTCATCATCTTCTATGTTCATCTATTTCGTCATCCTCATCGTCTTTTTGCTCCTCATCCTTATTTTTATCATCGTCATCATCGTCATTCTTACCCTTATTCTCATCCTCCTCCTCCATCCTTGCTCCTATTCTTATCTTCATCGTCATTTTTATCCTCATTCTCATCCATCCTTTTCCTCATCCTTGTCTTCATTCTCATCCTCATTCCCATCCTCATCTCTTCTTTATCCTTACCCTCATTCTAATTCTCTTCCAACCTCGTCCTCATCCTCACGTCCATTCTCATCCTCATTCCCATCCTCATCCCTATCTTCATCCTCATGCTCATCCTCATTCCTATTGACATCTCATCCTCATACTTATCATCATCTTCGCCTTCATTCTCATCCTCCTCTATCCTTGCCTTCAAACTGATCTTCATCCTTATTCCTATCCTCATTCACATCCACATCTACATTCTCATCTCGTCCTTACTCATATCCTCGTCCTTATTCTCATCCCCATTCCCATCCTATCCTCATACTTATCATCATCTCATCCTTACCTTGATTCTCATCCTCCTCCATCCTTCCCCTCATCCTACCTTCATTCTCATTCTTATCCTCATTCCCATGCTCACCCCATCCTCATCTTATCCTCATACTTATCATCATCCTCATCTTCATCCTTGACCTCATTCTCATCCTCCATCCTCACCTTCATCCTCAACTTTATTCTCATTTTTATCCTCATCCCTACCCTCATCTCATCCTTATATTTGTTATCATCCCTGTCCTATCCTCATCCTTACCCTCTTTCTCATCCTCCTCCATCTTAACCCTCATTCTTTTCTTTATCCTTATTCTTATCGCCACCTTCATCCACATCTACATTCTCACCTCTTCCTTACTCATCTCCTCGACCTCATTCTTATCGTCATCCCAATCCTCACTCTTATCTCATCTTCATCCCCATCCTATCCTCATTCTTACCGTCATTCTTATGCTCATCCCCTTCTCATCCTCATACTTATCATCATCCTCATCGTTACCCTCATCGTCATCTTCCTCCATCGTTGCCCTCACTGTCATCTTCCTCCATCCTTACTCTCATCCTCACCCTTATCCTCATTCGTATTCTCATCCCCATCCTCATCCACATCCACATTCACATTATCATCTTATCCTCATCCTTACCCTCACTGTCATCCTCCTCCATCCTTGCCCTCATCCCCAACTCTATCCTCATTTATATCCTCATCCCCATCACATTCTCATCTCATCCTCATTCCCAAAAATCATCCCCATCACTACTCCGTCCTGATGCTCATGCTCAACCTTGTCCTGGTCCCTTTCCCCATCGTTATCCTCACCTTTATCCACATACTAATCCTGAACGTTATCCTCATCTCCAAAATCGTACTCATTTTGTTTTTCATTGCATGTCTGCGAGAGGTCATTGTGACATCATCGTGAGATGCTTATTTTTATATCCAGTTCTACTGGGCATAATTCCCTGATAAAAACAGTAAAATGCAGTATCTTCAAAGATGAGATATTTCTTTAATACACTGATCGCATTAATAACAGGTTTTTCTGCAAGGAAAGTTTTGTTTCCTTATCACGCGTCAGCGAGAGGCCATTGTGAAACAATCATGATTAACTTCTTTTATTTGGTCATTTTCAATGTAGTGTTAAGGCAAACACTGAGAAAATTATATCTTAGATTATGTCGTAGTTGTCTGCTAGAAGAATGGGAATTGATAGGGAAAAGAGCAATCAATAGTAGCAAGTGATCACTCAATTATATCAGCCAAATACCGGTTAAACACTAGATGTAAGTCAAGGAGGACTTCGGAAAGCAGAAAAGATATAAAAATATCAATAAATAAAACGGACGATTGTGAAACATCGAAGCAGAAAGTGAATAGAGCTTGCTCATCTTTTCAATTATTATCTTAGGAGCAACCACGAGGCAAAAACAAGATAATCTATCAAATATGCTTTATGCAAGTGCTTTCCAGAGTCAGCAAAACTAGCCCTTCTAAAACAAACGCAGCATGGCGTGTGCCTTGTAACTGAGGGAGTGCCGGGCAAAAAATCCACGTTCGAACTTTTTAATGGGACAAAAATTCCCAGCCGACCTTTCTAATGTTGACGGATCATGGCGACAAAGTTCTCACGAAGGACATGTGGACCATAAATCTGGGTAGATGGGCTAACAGTTCTTCGTTAATACCATTCTTGGTGTGCAAAAATGTTGGTTTAATTCTGTGCAACATTTTTCCACGACATGATCGTCATGAAGGAAAATATCCGTATTCCAGCAAGCATACCTCAATGCAATGCCATGATCTGATCAATGCAAGATAAATACACTAATGCAGCTGATTGGTACTATATTTCCCCAGTGGGACAATTTGATTGTGCAATTGATACGTTAACGTAGTGGCTACCTGCGTGTTTGTGGGCACAATGCAAAACACAAGACACACCTGACGCTTGCAAACTGCTATGAATTTCAATTGCAGTGACTGATTATTCAGTTTCCTGCACAAGAGGCAAAACGATCATATCATAAGCAAGTTCATCATAATCCTAGGATGCTGCATGTTTTGTAAGACTAACCGTCTCCTATAATTTGAGTGAGTGAGGCTCCGCATGCAGCGAACTCCGCTGTTATTGTTGTGGACCATAAATCTGGGTAGATGGGCCAACAGTTCTTTGTTAATACCATTCTTGGTGTGCAAAATGTTGGTTTAATTCTGTGCAACATTTTGCCATGACATGATTGTCATGAAGGAAAACATCCCTATTCCAGTAAGCATACCCCAATGCAATGCTGTGATCTCATCATTGTGAGATACATACGCTAATGCAGCTGATCGGCGCTGTACGTCTCCCAATGGCGACCTGCATGTTTGTGGGCACAATGCAAAACACGAACACACACCAGACGCTTGCAAACTGCTATGACCTCCAATTACAGACTGATTATTCAGTTTCCTGCAGTGGCATCAAAATGATCATCATAATCCCAGGATGCCGCACGTTTTGTCTTTCTCATAATTTAAGCGAATGAGGCTCCGCACGCTGCGAACTCCGCTGTTATTGTTATCACTATTTTTGATAAGTATGGGGCTTCGCTATGCATGCTGCGAGCTAAATAATATGTTAAAAGCGACTAAGGACTGGTAGCACAGTACTATGGGAGACTTAAAAACAGTACATACTCGTAAGAGGATATTCATGAATAGACAGTACCTCTAAAATTCCAAGTACTTGCCTTTATTTTAATTCTTACTCTATTATTCAAGTTTGGAACTAAGTGAAGCAAGGGCAACACTACCTTAAGGCATTGTGTGCACAGGCTGGGAAAGAGAGAGGTCAAAAAAGTCCCACCACTTCCACCAAAGGCCAGCGAAGTTAAGGGAAATAAAATTTTGAAGGGTATATGGTAATCATACCTCAGCCCTGATCTTTTTCAATCTGTTCCACAGTAGCCTAAATTACAGAATGGGGTATTAACCAGATAATAAACATAGTACGACCCACAGTTCCTCACTCGAATAATAATTGAGTATTTACAACAACTATGATATCGGAAGCAAACTGTTCTGTTTACTGCGCCTTCAGCCACTGATGGATGAGTGCCGCGCAGCCAACCTGTTTTATACGTGCCACATCTCGACATGGGTTGACAAGTAGTCGGCATCTTGGTTCCCGCATTTCCTTGGAAACGAAACCACCCAGGACCAAGGTGTTTGTCGCATTTTTTGGTTCTGGTGACATACGTGGTTCTCCTGGTGTTGTTTGTCAATTTTGTGTATCCTCGACATTCTAAATAATCATTAATGGCGAATTGATTATTACAAATGCTACCTTCATCTTTTAGAGCATTTTTCAATGCAGTGTCCAGAGTAACGCGGATTGCATTGCTTTTGCTGTACCTCGCTCTGTGATTGGTTCAGACAACTCGCAACACTCTCTCAACCAATCAGAAAAAGCCTAAAACCAACTGCTACGACGCCCGCTCTTTAGGCAATTTGGTTGTTTTTACTTTGAGTTCCCATTGGCTCTTATGGGTGTTTTCCTTTCTTGTGATTGGCTTTTGTCAGTGGTTTTGATTAGTTTGGTTTTGGTTTTACGACTCAATCGAAGACTGCTGGTTGGTTTAAGTTAGCTCAAATTTGGTTATATTTCTAACTTTAGCATGTGAAAGAACTAAATAGACACAGGAGGCGAAAAGAGGAGATGCAGTCATTGGAAGATATGTTATTTTATGAGTTAAACTTTTCCGATGATTATCTTCCTCTTATTTTTCTCGTACGTGATAAAAAATAACTCACCTTCAGGTATGCAACTGGTTTTTCCGTTCTCCGTGTATCCATGATTACAAATACAATAGTAGGATCCAAGTTGATTTACACATGTTGCCACATCCTTGATGCACTCATGGAAACCATTTTGGCATTCGTCGACATCTGTAATACAGCAATTAAGGTATTACTAATGTCACCAGAAAAGCACCTTTACGGATATTTCTTGCACTCGTTCAATTTGGAGGAGATCAGACGACTTATGTGGAATTTATTGGTCTTGGATTGACTACGGTTGGTGCACGGGATCGGTTCAGCTGACCTGCCTTCCCTATTTTTATAATGCACAATTCCCGGTACGAACAAAGTTGACAAAGTGATGTTGAAATTGACCTGAAGAGATAAGGCGGCTATGGCGCGTTTATTAACATTATTATTTATCTTATTTCATTTCATTTTATTTACGGCACACGCGATTCGACTGAAATTCGCTCTAAATTTATCCCACAAACGTTCAGTACTTAAGGAATATCGACTCAGTGAACCGAAGCGTGATTAAATACCCGTTCATATCTAGCGTATAAATTAGATATTCCTGTTAATGACCTTTCAACCCCAAAATTGCACATGGTACGCTTAAGCCATCTGTGTTGCTTGTAAATAAAACTAAAGGTAATTTCGCGTTTTCCTGCGGCCTTTCCTCCTTTTGTAACATCTGTAGCCACTGTACCTCGGTAATAGCAAAGACATGAAAAGTCTGTGAAAACAGTTGACGCTGTTGGTACACTCGTGCACTCGTCACGTTCAGACATGTACCAAAAAATAAAATATGACCATGAATCTGCTGAATTGGATGCCTGGAAAAATTTATATGGATACAGGGATTACATTGTTACCGGTACAGTTTTTTCCCGTGGCCATTAAACCTTTCCTTACAACCGCAGTTTAAGTGTTTGGTCGGTTTTGAGCTGTGCCAGAAGGTCTTCGAGAGGGAAAAAGTTACCCTGAACGAGTGCAGACCAAAGAGGAACAAAATAGGAAGGTTTCATGACAATAAAAGAGACTCCAAATTCAACTTGTGAAGGAAAATTAAAACTGACAGGGCACAATGTGTTTAAGATGACTCCCAAGTCACTAGACGGCGTTTAGAAGCATACGAGACGAGACCAAAACGGAAACAATAGAGGTGCATACATGCATTAGTAAACATAATTATGACAGCGCAATCGCGCCTTAACCTTACCGTTTTCGCAATATTGTCCTGTGTATCCAAGAGGACATATACACTTATATCCCTTGTCTGTAAATCCAACCAGGCATGTTGCGTTGTTGTAGCACTTGTTGCCGTAGCACTTATTCTGGTGGAAAATAATATAGAGCTTAAGGTTCTTAAATTTTTCACGCTGATTATTTCAGAATATCTTTAGTTGCTGAGCCGCCTTGAGCTAACGGCACATGATGATCAGGTGATTCATTACACGCCTGTAGTTATTGATAGTGATCTATGCTGATGAATCCTACAGGGCACCCAAAGCGATCTTTTTTTTGTTACTGGTTCGATTGCAATGTTCTTAGGCTCTAATTTGAAAAGTTTTATTATGAATTCTCCTGATCTGATTCGGTGAGGACTCGCAGAAGGCTTAGGAAAATCTCTTCAAAGGTAAACAAGGCTGACGAACAGCAAACAATTCTTACCTCTGTTCCTCTATATATTAAGCCTGCCGTCGGTTTCAGATCATTTGGATGTTGTAATTGGTCCGAGTCACTGAGTTGGCATATAATTTCATTTTTTTCTCGTGGTACCATGTTGATCGATGTACAACTGTCTTCCATAGTACACCAATTTCTGCAGTGACTATACATATGCATTCCGACTGGTAATGAAATGTTTTTAATGACGTGGCCTATCAGTGCATATCCATTTATTGGCTCCAGAAACTTGAGACGTCGACAACCATCTGTAAGTTAGGCAGGAATACATAAGATAGGGATCGGATCACTTACGTTCAGCAGCAAAGTAAAAAACCACTACTGAATAATTCTTCAACCCATGCAGTCTTTCTTTGGGTTTGTTTTCATTGTTTTTCGGAAGCACGATGGCACAGATAATGAATCTTCAAAAATTTCCATGACTTCCTCCTATTGCGATCTTTGGAAAGCTAAAACCTTTTGGAGAAGATATCAAATGGAAAATGTGAAAGCTCTTACAAACACTTCACTCTGAGAGCTCCCGTGCTGAAATAATTTTTTTTTAGCGATTTGTTTTTTTTACTCGCGCGACTGATTGTACGTCTCCTGCGTCTAATTTTTTCTGCAATAAAATATTTAATTTGTTTTTACATATGTCAAAGTTACTCCGTTCGATCTAACTGCCTTTTCTGGGGAGGTTTTTAGCAATCATTCTGTGTACCTTTTTTTTTTAAAGAGGGAAACGATGAGAAAAAAAACGAGTTCGCAATATCTCATAAAGATGACAACGTTAAAATTAAACGTAAACAAAAGAATGAAATATTTTGCGGTTTTGCACATTAATGAAATGCATGTGTAGTGGTGTTTTCTTTGGACTAATCAAAACAATCTACGCGTTTTTCTCAGCTTCAGTTCAGTTTGCAGGCAACGCTTTTGAAGCATTTCTTGAAATAGCTTTCTTTGTTTTTAAGAAGATCATTTGAAAGAATTAACAGTCTTATTCAAGTTTTGCAGCGTATGAAGAGCGAGTTAAAGTCCAACACTTTTAGAAGAAGATATGCAACGATGTATGGTACTTCTCAGACTTACGTACACTAACATTATTTTATTTTAAGAAATCAATGGAAAATTCTTGCCGAAACAACGAAAAAACTTTCGTTTTTAATATGCCGTGATGGTAATTCCATTTGCTTAATTTTATTTCTCAAGTTACTCAGGTCTGATGAGGGTCAAATCTGTTCTGATCAATTATTCATCAGCGTTTTTCTGTAAGCTCGATTGTTTTGAGGACAAACATTTGGATTGTTGACGATAACCACGAAAAATTTTTTTTTCCACTGAGTTTCAGCTCTCAATACTTATTTATTGATAGTTTAAAGAGGGAATTAATATAAATTAATTCTTATATTTCCAAAAAAAATTGCGTGCTTGCCTCGAATTGCCTTCAGTGTCAATGAACTGCACGTGAATGTATGTAGGTTCAACAACTTTTTCAAGTTGGGTTCTGGCATCTTAACATATCGCATATCATCTCTCAGGATCAAGTGATCATTGTTTTTAAAATACATTGTCCTAAAGAGCTGTTAGAAGACCTTTAACATCTAGCCAGATTGTCATAACAGTTACTAACACCTTTGTTAACGAAATGCACTGTGAGGGTAAAGTATCTTTCTCAAGAACATTGTGCAAAGGTCTTGCTAGTACGGGTACCCGCACATTTCGACCAGAAGTCAAACGCATTGGGCAAACGCGTCCACCAAACTAAGAAAAAATGCCATGCCTTTGAGAATCTGTGAAAACTTTCAGATAACACGTGAAAAAAAATGTCAAAGTTAACTCACCATGGTTTGCAACTGTTAAGCTGTAAAACCAGCCTCCGAACAAAAAAAGCAGAGATAGATAACAAAACATGGGGCGACAGCGCTTTATCTTCAAAGTTTCGTCAGAAAGGAAGTTCTCGGCCTTCTTTTGAAGGTAATTCACTTTTTATAGAGACTTTCAAAAGGGTGCGAAAACTGTATCACCCATCAGGTGCTTTCATCTCATCTGTTACTGTGATTAATTATTAATCCTGAAGCGGATGGTTATGAAGTTCCTCCAATGTCATTTGTGCATATAAATGTTTAGTAAGGAGTCTCTTTCTTTTTGGCTCTTCACAGAAAACAAAAAAAGTTCGAATGAAGTCAATACAGTTCCATTGTTTGAAAAACAGACTGAATAATAACGCGGTGAAATGACGGACGGGTTTTAATGTTTAATTGCATAATTGGCCCGCAGGAGTAAAAACCATCATTGAACTTTTGTCAGTATATTCAATAGAAATACATTATTGACCAAGTGTAAGGTAAAGAAGGCGTGATATTAGCAGTTCGAGTTAGCAGGGATTCTACAGTAGTGTTATTCGTAAACGCAAGGGATCACGGGTGGCCATCTTAGAAGAGAAACAACACAATTTACAGTCGAACCTGTATTAAGCGGAACCGTATTAGGCGGCGGTTATAAAAGTCCCGAAATTGTTTCCCTTAATTATTGTAATTTTCTCTTCCATTAAGTGGTCACCTTTATTACACACTCGTGTTCACCCTTTAAGCTGAAGTAATAATTTAAGAAGACGCTTTTGTGATACCCTTGTTTCATCGAAATGTTTTCATTACGAGGGAAGGCCATATAAACACCTATAGCTTAATTTACACCGGTAGAATAAAAATTGTTTGATTATTGGTATTGGGCAAATACTTTCATCCCATTATGAGATAATTTTCTACAGTGGCTACTTAAAATCTACATCAGCACAAAAATTTCCCCTTTTTCACAAATCATATAAGATGTCTCTCACCTAGGTTTTAATCAGCCAAACGAATAATTTTTTCGAGTGGAAGAGTACCGATGTATGTTTGGTAGGGGATATATCGAGGTATATATGATGTCCGTTAAAATCAGTTGTATTGTCACGGGCACTTCAATCGTACCACAAATGAATGTTGTCATGTCTCGTGCTTGCAAAGGATGCTGCGTTACGTACACTCTATTTAAGGGGTTTGTATGGGAACGCAACAATTTTGTTTTGTTGTATTTATTTGTTGTATTTATTTATTTAAACAGTAGCAATTTAGTACTAAGGTAGGGGAAGATCGGAGATTTTTTACAGCACGTGGATATGTAGCCTTTTCAATACAAATGGATTTGGCAGTTTCTTTTGTTCATGGGGACAGTAATTTTACCACAATTACAGGAAGCGCTGGCTGGGAGGATTAAAGTGCATTAGTCATAGGACACCATTGTCCGTCAAGGACCGTGAATCCCCGTCAACAGATATCATTTACCTCCATTAAACATCACAAACCGTCATTAGATATCCCTCATCCTTATTAAACATCATAAACCATCCCCAGAATTGATTTGCCGTCATGTACCACGTAATTGTCACTTATCGGTACGCTCTGTTCCGCCTTTTCTGCACATCAGGGACCTTAAACAGTCAGGACGTAAACCCTGAGGAAGACTTCGATTAAAAAATTAATTTTGGCTCGATGTATTTCCGCCTCTTAAGGTGTTACACATTAACTTTAGCATAAAGTGTTAAACAGTTAAATAATTTGCGGTCTTAGAGAAGCCAAATTTTGTATGCATGTATGTATGTATGTGTTTTTGCAATATTTAAACAGGCTGACCCAGTTCAGCCTAAAGCTGGTTAAATTGTGGTCCTGTATCAACAATGACAAGACCAGAACATAACACCGGGAACTACGTTCCCTACTCTTTGCAAGAAAAGTGTGGGTTCTTTAATGTCCCCTGCTAAACAATATAAAGTATATGCAGAAGACGGTCCCACGTTTATCGTTGTTATCTGAGAAGATAAGAATGTCTAACTATTTGCCGATATCAGTGTAAAGGCAGCACATTCTCCTCAGTTATTTTAAGACTATGAGTGTTGGTCCAGTCTGGGACTTGAACCCTCGACCCCCCGCACTGCAGTTCGGCGCTCTACAACGTAAGCGAACGAAGCAGTAATTTCACGTTCTTGCTTTGAATAGGACGGCTACGAAATTTGAAGAATTTTAAAACGTACTAGGTGAGCTATTATTCTTCCTATGAAATCCTTTGTTTTTCCTCGTCTACGTTGCCGTCGTCGCTGTGGTTTGCTTAAGGTCCCAGTCTCCTAACCTGGCCATTCCTCAGTGTGCCCTTAGTGCTACCTTGTCGAAGTGCTTTTTGGACTCTCACACACACACAATCTACACGGTGTTGCCCTTTCTGTCTCTTCTTTGGTATGCTTGATTGAGTTCGTCCTTAAAGCTTGTTCTCGAGCAGTTACGGTGAAGCCCTCTGTCTATTCTTCTTAAAATATCCATTCCTTAGTCATACTCAGGAATCCTCTTTAGCGACATCTTTGCTGTTTGCTGAAGAAACTGTCAGTGGAGGGCTTTGTCCTTTCACTTTCTGGATTTCTATTCTTTTGTCCCCTTTTGAAATTTCATCACCCTTTAACAATCGCAGCTAGTCGCCTTCTCCTGAAACGTAACTTGAGGCATGAACACCTACATACTTTTTGAGGCAGCCGTATTAGTATTTGTTCTCCCTCCCGGCACTAAATCTCGAAATACTGTTTATAATGGTAATTGAACTCAGGGGAGTGCAATTTTGGCTGAAAACATATGCTTGATTTCATAATCGAACGAGCGCCCAGCGCGAGTTCGATTTGAAATAACAAGTAGGATTTCAGACCAAATTGCACCACACGAGGTTCAATCACCACTTTATTACATCCATTTTGAAGTCGCCTAAATAGGACTCGCTTAGATCAAATATTTCATTGATGCAGTACTGAGCCAGTTTTGAAATTAAATTCATCCATTTTGGGAGGGGAGGGGTAATAGGAGTTCTGGAAACAAAAGTTGCAAAATTTGCCACACGATACTCTTTGTCTTCATTTTCCTGCAATGTGATTGGTTACTCTAAACAAGCCTTGAAATCTGATCGGTTATTATGTGTTTAGTGGAACCTCCTCATTGGCTGGGAAAGAGATGCAGTTTAAAGCAAAAATTGGTGTGATTCGTGAATAAATCGCACTAATGAGAGCCAATCAGATTACAGGGACCACCAGTGATTTCAAAATGGGCGCAGTAAACCATATAAACTACGGTGTTATACAAGGATTTCCAGCCCTTAGAAGAGCCGTAACAACAGACGTGAAAAAATATCGTATTTCAATTTCTCGTGTTCAACTCGACATCTCACTTGTTGGCTGCGTTCACTCGTGAGCTACCGAGGTAAACACTCGACGAGAAATTCGATATCCACGCGCGCCCATGTATTATTCTTTATATATCATCATGGTTACTAAAGTTTAATGTAACGAAAGTGATAAAGACAGAGATGTAAGTTGTTATAAGTAAGATGCAGAGTTGTCGAGTTCCAAAAGTACGACTGGTGTATTGTGTGTGAACCCTGAACACACAAGAAAACTTGTACAACGTCAAAATAATATCAGAAAGAGAGGTAGTGCATTAAAACGTCAAACAAAGGTAGCAATGCAATGACTTCAGAAGAATTCAAAGATGTGTTTTGATGATATTTGAGTTATTTGACGTAGAGTGAAGAACTGGAAAGCAGATCAGATAGATTGAAAACCATATATGTATATATGAAAAAAGCATACAAATGCACGCAACAAGCCCTAAAGGCATTGTGGGTCCTTTTCGGGTCACGGTTCCTTAATCCTTTAACTCCCAAAAGTGGTCAACATGAAACTTCTTCTTCTGATGTTTTACATTATCCAGCAAACAGATGATGAGAATATTCAAACTTATCAAGTAGAAGTTGTTATCTTGATCTAACAAAAAACTGTTATTACTTATTTACAAGTAAGTGTTAGGGGGAGAATTAGAAATCAGATCTTGGGAGTTAAAGGGTGCAGGATTTCAGGGAAATCGGAGAAAACGTCACAGTAGGACGAAGCAAGGCAGGTTTGATTAATTTACCTATTTATTTGACTTCTAAAAATTAATATATTACCCAGATTACTCTTCGAGATTTTCACGTCCTTTTTCTGACAAACTTTCTCGAGATAGCTGTTTACTGCACGGTGTTATTTATTTATTCCCAGCTATTTGAAGGAATTTTACTAGACCGTAAAACTGGTCGTAATAAAATCAGGAATACAAAACATTTGCATGAAATAAAGGCATCTCAGAAGCATCTCATGTATTTGCTCATTACTTATAGAGTAATTTTGGGTTGTGTCCTCGCGTACCGGTACGCAAAGGAACGAAACATTAACGAACTGCGTCACAACTCCACGTATGGATATGAAAACAATAGGAATTCCCCCGTGTACCGGTACACCAGGACAGCCCCTAATTTTGTCAGAGAACTGATGAACAAGTTAGCGATGAAAAGGAAGAATCCAGCATGGACATTGAAGTATGAGAGAGGGCCATATAATCAATTGTAACGTTATCTGCACTAGTAGGACAAAACATATTATTTAATTTTTGGTATTATGGGATCTTTCTCTACCATAGCAACTTAAAAATTAGCCTTTCGCGGAAATCACGTGAAATTTCATTCAACCAGGTTTTGCGTCAGCCTAAAGATAAAAATTGTTGAAGTGCATATGTATATTGGGGGGTTTATATTAGGCTCTTAGTCATGCAAACTTTATTACTCCGATAAAATCAGTTATGTGGTCTTGGAGTTTTTTCCATCTTACATTCCGTATTCCTAAGTTCATCGTTTCGTATGCTCATCTCTAACCTCATCCCAATCATCTTTTTAGTCCTCATCCTCGTCTCATCATCATTCTTACCCTCATTCTCATTCTGCACCAACTTTATCCTCATCCTCACCTTCATTCTCATTGTTTTCCTCATCCCCTACTCATCCCTATCTTCATCCTAATGCTCATACTC